GTTGCACGAACCGTGTTTCATCAGATTTATGTCGCAGGAGATGTATATACATGTATATGTATTTTTTTTTTTTTTTTTTTCCATAAGATTTTCTTTGTTTATCAATTTGCGCGCATAAAACACTTTAGTACCGTAGACTTGGATATTAAAAAAAAAAAAAAAAAAATCATGTCATATATTGTACACAGTGAAATTTCTTGTTATATCGAAGAAATTTTCTATAAAAACCATGCTCTCGCACTCACCCAAAACTTCAGTATTCACAACTCACCTTCAAAAACAACAACAAAAACAAGAACATTATCTCCGATAAAAGAAAATTTTCTGGAAGGTTTTCTTTTATTCAAAAAATAAAAAAATTTTTGCATAATTCACAAAAGAAAATTGTATTTTCTTCGCTCGTCCACCATAACTCACAACCAACAAGGAAATTGAATTTTCTTCTTCATCTTCGCGCACATTTTTATTCTCTTTTCATAATTTCAAAAATATGAAGTTCATCTTGGTCACCGTTCTCTACACTCTTGCTCTCCTCTCCACCTCCGTGATCAGCGGAACCGCTCCGCCATTCACATGCCAAAACGGTCGCGACGCGGTCGCCCAACAAAAATCATTCGCGAAAATCGACTTCTCCAAAGCTTGCCCAACAGTTAATCAAGTCGCTTGCGATGGCAGCCAGGTCGCAAAGTGTGCCCCTGGCGCCGGTGGAGTCAACAGCTGGGTACTCAGTCCTTGTGCTGCGGGAACAAGCTGCTTCGCCTTGCCGTTGGTAAACAAACCCGGTACTAGCGTGACTTGCGGTATGTAACTTTTTTTTTTTTTTTTCTCGATAAAGTTTCTACGGAACAGATAAACCTTGTTAACAATACTGAGAACTAATATAATCCGTTTTCGATGATAATAATAATAGACACCCAAGCCGATCGTGATGCTCGTGTCAATAACGCTCTTGCCACCTGCCCAAAGAAAGTGAAGAGATCAAAAATGTTGAGGAAGTAAATTGGTAGACCCCATCGAAGCTTATAGAAAATGCAAATTTTCCTAAATTTTCTTTCCTTTTTCTTTTTTGAAGTTTTTCATATTTATTTTCGCGAGTTATTTTCTTTTGTAAATTTGCATGAGTAAATAAACAAAAAAAAAAAAATTTGTTTCTATCATACGAGATCCTTTCTTTTCTTGACAAATGACCTGGTGAAATGCATGCAATACAATCTATCTCGTCTTTTCCAAAGCATACTTTGCTGTGCAATAAATAGTAGTGATGGTTCTATGATAATATACTATATCACGGTCGTTGTTCCACCAAAAGTTTTCGACATGCCGAGTATTACACGCAAGGCATTCACACGAGGAAATTGATTGAAGGAAACAATGTTTCCACAAGTTTCATCGCGATCGCCCTTCAAATCCAAGAAAATGCGACCCGTGTAAAGCCCGGCCGGTGTATAATGGGTACGCAAGTACGTAAAATGTTTGAGATGGACAAGGTAGCGGTGGTCCTTTTTAGGCTAAGGATGACCACCCCGGTGAAATTCGTACGCAATTAATTTAAAAAAAAAATTCCCCGTGATTATCTAATCAATTAAATGTTTAGACTTTCTCCCCCATGTATTAAAATTACAAAAACGGAAATTAATATCAAATAACAGAAAGATGGTCTTTTCTTTATGCATCTGATTAAGGTTACAAGACGAGCAAACGATTATCGTACATACGTGCATGCACGCTGTACGGTACATACAGTATATACTGTACATACAGACCCTACCATTATTGTATTCTGTCGTTCCCTTTAGATTGGGTCGTCGTCATCAGATGGAGGAGTCGATAGAGCGCGAGTTCACCACAGAAAAAGCAAAAAACAAAGCAAAAACAAAATCGGAACGCCTCAAATTGTATCAGCATCATGCGTCCTCTCTTCGTATTAAATCGAGAGAGGAAATTTGCCAAGGGAAATGAAGATAGGAAATAATAACTTTTTTACAAGTGTTGTAACAGATATATGAAATCATTTTCTTTTCTTTTCTTTTCATTCTATTCTCCTGCTTTACAGTCTCTTGTCGCAATTCTCGATGTACTAATAATAATACGGTACGTACAATGAAGTATTAGATAGATACGTAATGTGAGATGATAAAGGGTGGTTCTATTTTTACTCTCTCTGAAAGGAAGAAAAAAAAAAAAGGCCCGAGTCAATTAAAAATGCACGAGCGTATGAGTGTAAGATTAAAAATATTTCTTTTTCAATATGGTTGGTAGCGTGCACCCTCCGTTCGGGGACTAACGGGGCGCTGATGCCCATGCTGTTTCAAGAACAGACCACAACGGTTGCAAAGCTTTGATCCTTCGGGTCCTCGCCAGCAGGGTGTCGACGTTGTGCCGCAGTTTTGACACTTCGGCTGACCAACCCCGGGCCTCTCGGTCTTCACCAAACGTATCTCCCCATCTGGTCCAACTTCCGTCGGTCGATGACAACCTTTCACCTTCAAACTAAAAAAAAAAAAATTTGTTATTATGTTTTTGGAATTGATAAATGTCATTTATTTCAAACCTCAGATACTATTACAATCAGACTTACTATAAACCGCAGGCATTACAAAGCAGCGCTTCACCTTGAAGATCCCTTCTCCAAGCTGGCGTCTCTCTCGCTCCACAATTTGAGCAACGATAGATGTCTCCATTCTTTGATCGATGTAGATTATCTTGACCGGTAGATGATTCCCCGCCCCCACCATTCGAGCCAGTAGGCACCGGAGACCCAATCGTAGCTTTGGTCTTTCTCCTACGCCTTCTCTTCGTTATGGACTGGGTTGAATCGGACTGCTTGCTAGTCACACCTCCGCCACCGGTCCCAACAGTTCTGATCGATATTGACTGTTCATTCTTGCCAGGCATGTGGGCCTGTTGCGGCGGAGGGGGTGGTGGCGTGTAGATGGCTGTCGGTGGGACGAACGACGATGGCTGTTGGTAAAAATTGTTATTCGTCATTGTCCAGTAATACTGAAGTGGAAACGGATATTGGGTTGATGTATTTCCGGAGAAGTGAGATTGATTTGATATCTGTTGGCAGTGAATGCACATCGGATTTGTGTATTGAGCGGTGCCCGGGGTTTCAAGATCCACCTTTGAACGGTGCGTCATGGTTGGATCGTTGGATCCCATTAGTCCCGCGTCATTATAGTTGGTGTTCGTTTGATATCGAGGTAGGTGGACATTGGCTTGCTGATTGTTGGGTTGGATGTTGAGTCGATGATGGACATTAGGTGCTTGGATGTTGGTTTGATGGATGCTAAGCGGTTGTTGAATGTTG